AAATGGGCCACCCTGTATATATGCTTTGAGCTTGTGCCCACTCACTTGTAAGATGGTATAACGCAGTAAATTAAATAAAATAATCCTATTCTATGTAACGATTTTAGTAATAACAATCGAAATATTAATTATTGAAGTCGGACGAATGAGAGAAGCGCTCGAGCGCTCGAGCTATAGCACGGCCCACCGTGTCAGACATTGCCTGCCGGCACGCGGCGAGAGGAGGGACAGCGCGCCGCTACCCGTGGTTACCGCTATCACTATCCGCGAATTGCACGGAGGCCGTAGATGCCGACCGACCGCTCTCTCGCAGATACCACCCGGTGACGCGTCGTAGGTACGGCCGAGAACAGACTTGGTGTGTCGCGAGACGCGCGGAGGCCGTAGGTGCCGCCCGACCGCTCTCTCGTAGGTACCGCCCGGCTACGCGTCGTAGTTACCGTCGAGAACGGACTTAGTGCGTCGCGAGCCGCGCGGAAGTCGTAGGTGCAGACCGACCGCTCTCTCGTAGGTAACGTTCGGCTACGCGTCGTAGGTACCGCCAAGAACGGAAATGGTGCGTCGCGAGACGTGCGGAAGCCGTAGGAGCCGCCCGACCGCTCTCTCGTAGATACCGCCCGGCTACGCATCGTAGGTACCGCCGAGAACGGACACGGTGCGTTGGGAGAAGCGCGGAGGCCGTAGAAGCCGCCCGAGATACCACTCGTAGGTATCGCCCGATAGCTCTCTCGTAGGTACCTCCTGGTCACACGTCGTAGGTAACACCCGGCTACGCGTCATAGTATCGTCGAGAACGGACTTGATGCGTCGCTAGCCGTGCAGAGGCCGCAAGTGCCACCCTACCGCTCTCTCGTATCGCCTGGCCACGCATCGTAGGTACCGCCCGGTTACGCGTCGTAGGTACCGACGAGATCGGACTTTGTGCGCCGCGAGCAGCGCGGAGGCCGTAGATGCCGCCCGACCGATCTTTCGTAGGAACTGACCGGCTACGCGTCGTAGGTACCGCCGAGAACGGACTTTGTGCGCCGCGAGCAGCGCGGAGGCCGTAGATGCCGTCCGACCAATCTTTCGTAGGAACTGACCGGCTACGCGTCGTAGGTACCGCCAAGAACGGACTTGTCGCGAGCAGCGCGGAGGCCGTAGGTGCCGACCGATCGCTCTCTCATAGGTACTGACCGGCTACGCGTCGTAGGTACCGCCGAGAACGGAATTTGTGCGTCGCGAGCCGCGCGGAGGCCGTAGGTGCCGCCCGACCACTCTCTCGTAGGTACCGCCCGGCTAAGCGTCGTAGGTACCGCCTAGAACGGACTTGGTGCGTCGCGAGTCGCCAGAAGGCCGTAAGTGCCGCCCGACTGCTCTCTCGTAGGTATGGCCCGACCACGCGTCGTAGATACCGGCCGGCTAGGCGTCGTTGGTACCGCCGAGAACGGACATGGTGCGTCGCGAGCAGCGCGGAGGCCTTAGAAGCCGCCCGAAATACCACTCGTAGGTACCGCCTGATAGCTCACTCGTAGGTACTGCCAGGCTACGCGTCTTAGGTACCGCCGAGAACGGAAATGGTGCGTCGCGAGCAGCGCGGAGGCCTTAAAAGCCGCCCGAAATACCACTCGTATGTACCGCCAGCTAGCTCACTTGTAGGTACCGCCCGGCTACGCGTCGTAGATATCGGCGGGCCACGCGTCGTAGATACCGCCCGGCTACGCTTCGTAGGTACCGCCGAAAACGGACATGGTGCGTCGCAAGCAGCACGGAGGCCGTAGAAGCCGCCCGAGATACCACTCGTAGGAACCGCCCGATAGCTCACTCGTAGGTACTGCACGGCGACGCGTCGTAGATACCGCCCGGCTACGCGTCGTAAGAACCGTCGAGAACGGACTTGGTGCGTCGCGAGGAGTGGCACCCGTTTGTCGACGTTAATATTGACCACCGTCGCGATTGACCACATTGAAATTGACCACGTTGCGATAAACCAACGTTCTATTGACCACGTCCCGATTGACCACCATCCCGATTGACCACTATCCCGATTGACCACGGTCCCGATTGACTACCGTCCCGATTGACCACGGTCCCGATTGACCACAAAAAAAAATTAAAAAGTTAAATTAATATAACTAGTTATAAATATAATAATAAAAAAATAATTTAAAAAATAATTTAAATATTCACATAAGGTATGATTGAGTTGCCCACAGTTTTATAAACCTATGTGAAATCCCAGTTTGCGTTGCAATGTACACGCACAGCTTCACACACCCCCACCCCCGCCTCACCACCCCTCGCTATCACCAACCACCCCACCCTGTTGCAAACCCATGTGAAATTCGGGACGATGGTCAATGGGGACCGTGGTCAATCGAAACGGTGGTCAATCGGGACCGTGATCAATCGGGACCGTGATCAATCGGGACCGTGGTCAATCGGGACGGAGGTCAGTCGGGACGGTGGTCAATCGGGACGATGGTCAATCGGGACGGTGGTCAATCGGGACGATGGTCAATCGGGACTGTGGACAATCGGGATGGTGATCAATCGGGATGGTGGTCAATCCGGACGTGGTCAATCGGGACGGTGGTCAATCGGGACGTGGTTAATCCCAACGTGGTCAATTTCAACGTGTTCAATCGGGACGGTGGTCAATATTAACGTGGCCAAATGGGACGTTCTCCGTTGTGAGCAGGATTAACGGATTAAAGCAGTAACTTAAGGAATTGACAAATCACATTCATGCATTAAATGAATACTCGACTGTGATTGCCCAATTTATGGAGTTACAGCTTTAATTCATTAATTCTACTGCCGTTGTAGACGATGCTTTAGGGTCGTCCACAGTGGTCGTAGCATAAGGTTGCACGGCATAAGATTCAAGAAATTCACCAATCACAGTCAAATATTAAGAGAATACTCGACTGTGATTGGTCAATTTCTTGAGTTTTACACCTTACAACATTATGCTACGGTCATGTAGACGAATCTTTAAACCCGATTTACAACAGATAATTTAAGCCGTAAGCCTTAAGAAATTGTCCAATCACAGCCGAGCATTGCCTTCATAAGCCGCGTTACGAAATTATTATTAGTATACTGCAAATTCTATAGTGCACGTTACGTATATTATATATTTTCAGTATTGACAGTAAACTGGCAGCAATTTCGGAACACGGCTATACTTGACTGTGATTTGTCAATTTCTTGAGTCTTACGTCTTACAACCTTATGCTACGGCCATTGTAGACGACTCTTGAAGCGTCATCATCATTGAGATTTTAAGGAGACTTAAGGCGTAAGACTTAAGAAATTGACCAATCACAATCGAATATTCTCTTAATACATGACAGCAATTGGTCAATTTCTTAAATCTTACTCCTTAATTCTCCTTAAAATTTCATTGTAGACGACGCTTAATGTAGCGTCTATAATTAGTTTTTAGGGCGTAAGTCTTAAGAAATTGACCACTAACGGTCTCGTATTAAGAGAATATTCGATTGTGATTGGCCAGTTTCTTAAGTTTTATTCCATAAAATCTCATTGTAGAAGACGCTTAAAGGCCATTCTACAGTGGCCGAAGGATAAGGATGTAAGGCGAAAGACTCAAGAAAATGACAAATCGCTGTCAATATTGAGAGTATACTCGATTGTGATTGGTCAATTTCTTGAGTTTTACGCCATACAACATTATGCTACGGCCATGTAGACGAATCTTTAATCCCGATTTACAACAGATAATTTAAGCCCTATGCCTTAAGAAATTGTCCAATCACAGCCAAGCATTGCCTTCATAAGCCGCGCTACGAAATTATTATCAGTATACTGCAAATTCTATAGTGCACGTTACGTATATTATATATTTTCAGTGTTGACAGTAAACTGACAGCAATTTCGGAACACGGTCATACTTGACTGTGATTGGTCAATTTCTTGAGTCTTAAGCCTTACAACCTTATGCTACGGTCATTGTAGGCGAATCTTGAAACGTTGTCTACACTGAGATTTTAAGGAAATTTAAGGCGTAAGACTTAAGAAGTTGACCAATCACAATCGAATATTCTGTTAACACTTGACTGTAATTGGTCAATTTCTTAAATCTTACGCCTTAAGTCTCCTTAAAATTTCATTGTAGACGACGCTTAATGTAGCGTCTATAATAAGATTTTAAGGCGTAAAACTTAAAAAACTTAAAAACTTAAAAAATTGACCAATCACAGTATAGTATTAAGGGAATATTCGATTGTGTTTAGTGAATTTCTTAAGACATACGGCTTAATATCTCATTGTAGATGACGCTTAAAGGCAATTCTACAGTGGCCGTAGCATAAGGTTGTAAGACGAAAAACTCAAGAAATTGACCAATCACAGTCATATATTAAGAGAATTCTCGACTGTGATTGGTCAATTTCTTGAGTTTTACGACATAAGTCTCCTTAAAATTTCATTGTTGACGCTTAATGTAGCGTCTATAATAAGATTTTGAGGCGTAAGTCTTAAGAAATTGACCAACGGTGTATTATTAAGATAACATTCGATTGTGACTGTTCAATTTCTTAAGTCTTACGCCTTAAATCTCATTGTAGAAGACGCTTAACACGTCGTCTACAATGGCAGTAGGATAAACGGATTAAAGCAATAACTTAAGGAATTGACCAATCTCATTCAAGCATTAAAAGAATACTCGACTGTGATTGGTCAATTTATTGAGTTACAACTTTAATTCATTAATTCTACTGCCATTGTAGACGATGCTTTAGGGTCGTCCACAGTAACCGTAGATTAAGGTTGTAAGGCGTAAAGGCCGTGGCACATAAAAAAAAATAAGCAGTAAGACTTAAGCAGTAATCCGTAAGCAGTAGAATCAAGGCACACAGTAAACTTAATATGTTACTTTCTACCAATCACAGTATTGCAATGCTTTTCGATGAGTTTTAGAACACACTTTATGCGATAGCATAAAAAATATTTTAAAGTGTCTAATCTAAATGAAAGGAAAATAATTATATATTTATCGGGATGACAATATATAAAAAGAAAGAAAATATTATATAGTATAGATTAATTCTAAGCATTTACCTATATTTAATTAGAAATGTGTGTGTATATTTTGATGATATTTACAATTTGAAATAGAAATATAATATCATTGTTCTCAAACATATTCAAAATTGCTACAATTTGTAATGTTTGTTTTACAGACAATGGATAACGAAGAAGATCTAGCGTATGTATTAGTTGTACTAATGATTGGTACATATATATTAAAAAGACAAACATCTTTTCGTTGGATTAATAGAAAATATTGGGTGCGACCAATTAATATAAGACGTCCCATTCAAGGAGATTTTGATCATTTATTACAAGAAATGAAAACTGATCCTTATATGTTCTTCAGATATACCAGAATGTCCGTAAATGTTTTCAATCACTTATTAGAAATAATGAAACCATTCTTAACCAAAAAGAGTCATCGTGCCTTAGTACCAGAGCAACGTCTTGCTTTAACTTTAAGGTTTGTATCTCTTTTAATAACTATAATGTATATTAAAAGAAGTGTTAACATACTGATTTAGTCGATCTGTGTTCATTATTATAGATATCTCGCCACAGGAAATCAAATCTTGTCTATTGCGTTAGCATACAGAATTGGAGAATCTACAGCGAGAAATGTAATTAAGGAAACTTGTGCTATGATCATAAAAGTATTGTCACCGATATATCTCCAAGCCCCTACCGAAGAACAATGGCTAAAAATAATTGAAGGCTTTTATAGGAAATGGAACTTTCCAAATTGCTGCGGAGCAATAGACGGGAAACATATTCAAATACAAGCACCGCCAAATTCTGGAAGTCTGTTTTATAATTATAAGAAAACATTTAGTATTGTTTTGATGGCAGCATGTGATAGTGACTACAAATTTACGTTGATAGACTGCGGATCATACGGTAGTAGTAATGATGCAGGGATATTTTCAAGGTCCGATTTTAATAAAGCTTTAGTCAATGGCAATTTACATCTACCACGAGGCGAAAGCATCTTACCCGGAAGTGATAAAAAGTCACCATGTTTTTTTGTCGCGGATGAAGCATTCCATTTATCTACAAATCTAATGAGACCATATTCTGGACGAAATTTGGAATAAAAAAAAAGAATCTTCAACTACAGATTATCACGAGCCCGAAGAGTTATCGAAAATAGTTTTGGAATTCTGGTATCAAGATGGCGAATATTTAGAAAACCCATTTGTATGCACCCAAAAACTGTAGACACAATAGTAATGGCGACAATATGTTGGCATAATTTTTTGAAAACAATAAATGATTTAACGTCAATGGAAAACAGAATATACTGTCCACCCAACTTCGTAGACACAGAGCAAGAAGATGGAAGTATTGTTTCTGGAGCATGGCGAAATGAATATAGTACAGCTGTTCAGTGTATCAGATCGAGTACAGCTCACCGATCGACGATTGAAGCATATAAACAACGGGATATTATTGCAGATTATTTTTTGAGTGCTGTTGGTGAAGTTCCATGGCAGTACTCTTACATTCGTAGAGGCTTATATTGTCCCGATATGGAGTAAAGAATTAATATTATGTTTGTTTTTTTTATTTAGAATAAGGAAAATTTTTCATATATATGTATTAATATTTTTTACTATTTTTATAATCCTTGGCGCTTTTTTCAAGTTCTTAAAATAGAGAATATTAATTAATGTTATGAATCATATTCTAAATAATTCGCAGAAATTTAAAATATTAATTATATTTGCTAACAATTTTGTTTCTGACTCAATTATATATTTTAGAAAAAAATGTAAAATTAATCTTAAATATTTTAACTTTTACATATGTTTGGTTTGTATAATAGAAGAATATCATACACTTACTGTATGTAGAATTTACACAGAGTTTACCACTTTTCAATTAATTCTTCATAGTACAAGTACGATTGAATACGATTGAATATGATTTAATAGTTAGAATATTATTCGAAAATGTACCAAAAATATTTTATGTTACCAAATTATTTACGGATTGTAATAGAATTTAATTATAATATATTTAATTATAAATAAAATACATAAATATATATAAATGCGCTTTGAAATAAAAAATACCTTTTTAATAAATTTCCATATAATTTATTTTTATAACTTGATTTAACTCTTCTAAGTAATAGATAGATATACATAAGGATGAGTCTTCAATCTCAACAAATAAAACATAAATATCTTACATTTAAAACATAAATATCTTACATAATTATCTTATCTAGACGCTAAATGTAATGAAAGTAAAAAAATATACGAATTATAAAAGACATGAAACAAAAAATTTATCTTGGGCGCCAAATTATCACATAATAAATCATGAAAAAAATAAAATATAAATATCTTACATTTAAAACATAAATGTCTTAGACGCTAAATGTAATGAAATAAAATATATGAATTATAAAAGACGTGAAACAAAAAATTTATCTTGGGCGCCAAATTATCACATAATAAATCATGAAAAAAATAAAATATAAATATCTTACATTTAAAACATAAATGTCTTAGACGCTAAATGTAATGAAATAAAATATATGAATTATAAAAGACGTGAAACAAAAAATTTATCTTGGGCGCCAAATTATCACATAATAAATCATGAAAAAAATAAAATATAAATATCTTACATTTAAAACATAAATGTCTTAAACGCTAAATGTAATGAAATAAAATATATGAATTATAAAAGACGTGAAACAAAAATTTATCTTAGGCGCCAAATTATCACATAATAAATCATGAAAAAAAACAAGTATCACATTAAACATAACATTCAAATAACTGAAATTATTGTATACATGGTTTTCATAAAATCTCTGCAATTGCTTGTTTTCGTTTACATTTTTCCGGCTCAGGTATTTTCTCTAATTCTATTGCTACTAGTAAACCAAAGCTTTTCTCTGGTGTTAAATTATTTAAATTCCAATCAGTGTGATTATTGTTAGTAGGACACGGTGGATTAACAAGCCGGTTTTGAAGAGTATTACTCAGAGATACAATGGACGATTCCAAGTGTGAGATATTTTTATTTTTTATTTTACCTAAAGAATTGCGAGATTCGCTTCGGAGTGATGATGATCGATCAGATGAGACTGTTTCAATTGCATTGATCTCTTGTGAGGTGTTAGGCCGATCTACCGCATTCTGTACAGTTTGAAATTTTCGGAATGGTGGTAATGATCGATCAGATGAGCCTGTTTCAATTGCGTTGATCTGTTGTGAAGTGCTAGAACGATCTACCTCATTCTGTACAGTTTGAAATCTTCGGAATGGTGGTAATGATCGATCAGATGAGCCTGTTTCAATAGCATTGATCTCTTGTAAAGTGCTAGAACGATCTACCGCATTCTGTGCAGTTTGTAATTGATTTATTTCTTGAAAATGCCGATTACGAGAAAAGTTTGTTTTCGGTGTTTCTTCGGGCACAATGTCAGAAATAAGAGAAAGATTTGAATAAGAGTCTACATGTGCATGCAATAAAGTATTTTTACTAAAATTGTGCTTATCGGTACAAACATTTGATATGTCAACTGCTTTTTTTTTAATAACCGAATTAACCACATTGGTATATGATCTGAAATTTAAAATTAATGTACATATACATATATATAACAATATGTTTATATAACAATGTACCTAGCAAACATAAATATATATAACTGTTATATAATACATAATATAATATGTATGTTACATGCAACGCAAAGGTTAATTTCCCACTCATAAATGGAACATTTGTAATATAATATGTTGCATTGTAGTTACAATTAACATATACGTTGCATGTAACGAACATATTATATTACATATGTATAACAATTATATATCTGTTTGTTGGTATATATTGTACTGACTATGTTTATGCACTGTATAATACACATATATGTATAAAACAATGTGATGTTTATATATACCTGTATTATAATGACTTAAAAAACTTACTTTCTCCGTCTAATAAATTTTTTTAGGAACATCATGTTGTTATAAAGAATAAATATTGGTCGACGACTAGCTGCACTGCCATTTCGATTTTCTATCTCTTGAAGACGTTGTTCTTTGCTAAACCTTTCACGCAAACGTAGCCAACGAGTCTGACAATTATCAACTACAATGAACAAACATACATATAAATGTAATAAATATAAATTCAGAAAATTATTAAAATAAATAATAAAATATTACCTGACATATTCATAAGTGATGCGATTTCCCTCCATGAATTCTCTTTTATTTTTGTATCTTTATATTCTTTTAAAGAAGTGTCATACAAATGAGGATATCCTCTAACTGCATCGATTAATAATTCATCGTTTGTTTTATCGTTTCCTTCATCAAATTGAGGGACTTCATCATCCTCATCGATTTGATCATTCATATCATCCGGGAAATTTTGAGAATAATATGCGTTCCATTTTCTTGTTATTAAACCTCTGTAACCTATAACTTTCATTAACACAATGAGATATCTAAACTATCTATATAATTACTGTATTTTATATAAAACAAAACTTACTTTTTTGTTTAATAATAATTTCTTCAGGAAAATTTCTTAGGAATACATAAAATAATATTATATAAATAATATTCAATTTCTTCGGGAGATAGAAAATCGAAGTGCTGCGTAATCACCGAGTCTAGTAACTTCTTTATGATTGGTTCACCGTAAAACTTAAAACTTAGAATTTCATCCTTGTGGAATATTTCAACCTTACGTTCTGAGTTTTAAGTTTTAAAATGGCTGCTTTATTGCTCGACTGTGATTGGTCGATTTGCTTATGCTTAAGTCTTATTGCTTATTTTTTTTTATGTGCCACGGCCTTAAGATTCAAGAACTTAACCAATCACAGTCAAATATTAAGAGAATACTCGACTGTGATTGGTCAATTTCTTGAGTTTTACGTCTTACAACCTTATGCTACGGCCATGCAGACGAACCTTTAATCCCGATTTACAACAGATAATTTAAGCCCTAGGCCTTAAGAAATTGACCAATCAGCCGAGCATTGACTTCATAAACCGCGTTACGAAATTATTATCAGTATACTGCAAATTCTATAGTGCACGTTACGTATATTATATATTTTCAGTGTTGACAGTAAACTGGCAGCAATTTCGGAACATGGCCTTGCCTGACTGTGATTTGTCAATTTCTTGAGTCTTACGCCTTACAACCTTATGCTACGGCCATTGTAGACGACTCTTGAAGCGTCATCTACACTGAAATTTTAAGGAGACTTAAGGCATAAGACTTAAGAAGTTGACTAATCACAATCGAATGTTCTCTTAATACTTGACAGTAATTGGTCAATTTCTTAAATCTTACGCCTTAATTCTCCTTAAAATTTCATTGTAGTCGACGCTTAATGTAGCGTCTATAATTAGTATTTAAGGCATAAGTCTTAAGAAGTTGACCAATCACGGTCTAGTATTAAAAGAATATTTGATTGTGATTGATCAGTTTCTTATGTTTTACTCCTTAAAATCTCATTGAAGAAGACGCTTAAAGGCCATTCTACAGTGGCCGTAGCATAAGGATGTAAGGCAAAAAACTCAAGAAAATGACCAATCACAGTCAAATATTAAGAGTATACTCGATTGTGATTGATCAATTTCTTGAGATTTACGCTTTAGAACCTTATGCTACGGCCATTGCAGACGAACCTTTAAACCCGATCTACAACAGATAAGCTCTAAGACTTAAGTAATTGTCCAATCACAGCCAAGCATTCTCTTCATAAGCCGCGTTCCGAAATTATTACCAGTATACTGCAAATTCTAAAGTGCACGTTACGTATATTATATATTTTCAATGTTGGCAGTAAACTGGCAGCAATTTCGGAATACGGCCATACTTGACTGTGATTGGTCAATTTCTTGGGTTTTACGCCTTACAACTTTATGCTACAGTCATTGTAGACGACTCTTGAAACGTCGTCTACACTGAGATTTTAAGGATACTTAAGGTGTAAGACTTAAGAAGTTGACCAATCACAATCGAATATTCTGTTAATACTTGACTGTAATTGGTCAATTTCTTAAATCTTACGCCTTAAGTCTCCTTAAAATTTCATTGTAGACGACGCTTAATGTAGCGTCTATAATAAGATTTTAAGGCGTAAGACTTAAAAAATTGATCAATCACAGTATAGTATTAAGGGAATATTCGATTGTGTTTGGTGATGAATTTCTTAAAGGCCCGTCTACAATGGCAGTATCAGTAGGTCGTAGCAGTTGTAAACGAAATGAACTAAATCCATTTCCTACGGCTACGATGTATGTTCTACGGCGAACGCGCAATCAGAATTAAAAACGCAGAATTCTTCCGTGACTGCGTATGCGCAACCGCCGTAGAACTCACGAAATCCGTAGGAAATGGATATGGTTCATTTCGCTTACAACTGCTACGACCTACTGATACTGCCATTGTAGACGGGCCTTAAGACATACGGCTTAATATCTCATTGTAGATGACGCTTAAAGGCAATTCTACAGTGGCCGTAGCATAAGGTTGTAAGGCGAAAAACTCAAGAAATTGACAAATCACAGTCATATATTAAGAGAATTCTCGACTGTGATTGGTCAAGTTCTTGAGATTTACGCCTTATGCAACGGCCATTGCAGAAGAACCTTTAATCCCGATCTACAACAGATAATTTAAACTCTAAGCCTTAAGAAATTGACCAATCACAGCCGAGCATTCTTTTCATTAGCCGTGTTTCGAAATTATTACCAGTACTGCAAATTCTATACTGCACGTTACGTATATTATATATTTTCTGTGTAGGCAGCAAACTGGCAGCAATTTCGGAACACGGCCATACTTGAATGTGATTGGTCAATTTCTTGAATCTTACGCCTTACAACCTTATGCTACGACCATTGTAGACGACTCTTGAAGCGTCGTCTACACTGAGATTTTAAGGAAACTTAAGGCGTAGGACTTAAGAAATTGACCAATCACAAACGAATATTCTCTTTATACTTGACTGTAATTGGTCAATTTCTTAAATCTTATGACATAAGTCTCCTTAAAATTTCATTGTAGACGCTTAATGTAGCGTCTATAATAAGATTTTAAGGCGTAAGTCTTAAGAAATTGACCAATCACGGTGTATTATTAAGAGAATATTCGATTGTGATTGGTCAATTTCTTAAGTCTTACGCCTGAAATCTCATTGTAGAAGATGCTTAACACGTCGTCTACAATGACAGTAGGATTAACGGATTAAAGCAGTAACTTAAGGAATTGACCAATCTCATTCAAGCATTAAAAGAATACTCGACTGTGATTGGTCAATTTATTGAGTTACAACTTTAATACATTAATTCTATTGCCATTGTAGACGATGCTTTAGAGTCCACAGTGGCCGTAGATTAAGGTTGTAAGGCGTAAGATTCAAGAAATTGACCAATCACTGTCAAATATTAAGAGAATACTCGACTGTGATTGGTCAATTTCATGAGTTTTACGCCTTACAACCTTATGCTACGGCCATGCAGACGAACCTTTACTCCCGATTTACAACAAACAATTTAAGCCATAAGCCTTAAGAAATTGTCCAATCACAGCCGAGCATTGTCTTCATAAGCCGCGTTACGAAATTATTATCAGTATACTGCAAATTCTATAGTGCACGTTACGTATTTTATATATTTTCAGTGTTATATATTGACAGTAAACTGGCAGCAATTTCGGAACAGGGCCTTACTTGACTGTGATTTGTCAATTTCTTGAGTCTTACGCCTTACAACCTTATGTTACGGCCATTGTAGACGACTCTTGAAGCGTCATCTACACTGAAATTTATGGAGACTTAAGCTGGAAGCACATAAAATTGTAGAAGCCATAGGCAGAATGCAGAAAGCATAGCTCATGCGCTATGGCTTCTGCATTCTGCCCATGGCTTCTGAATTTCCAATCTACATAAAAATACATAATACATAGTCACAAGCATAAGAACTTATTGTAACCGGTCGTAATAAAAGTTTTTAAGAAGAAAATAAGAATAAAAAACGAATTTATATTGATTAACACGTAAGTTTTTTCATTATTACATTATCAATGTAATAATATATTACATTATTAATGTAATACAAATATAAACTGACAGTATATAATTATTCGTGTAAATTCTCAGTTTCATAAACAGTATTTTGAGGTTAATTTTACTTTGTATGCACATTTCTGAAATTATATTTTACAAGTTTCACATTTCAACGTTTCACAGAAATGGATGATTTCGATTTTTTGTTAATTACTTTGGCCAATATGGGAGCACTTTTGGTGCAACGTCGTAGAGACAGGATCAACCGTGAACGTCGTCGCCGTCGACATGTCTGGGTACGAGCAATTAACACAAAAAGAAGACAGCAAGGAGCTTTTTACAATCTTTTTCAGGAAATAAAAATAGATCAGGATGTTCTATAAGTATACACATATGACACTGCCAATTCCATTCCAGCATTTGATGGACATTGTTAATCCAAGCTTAATAAAACGAAGCCCACGAGCACTTGAACCAGAGCAACGAATTGCTTTGACATTGCGGTATATATCGGATCATTAGTAGTTTAACAATACATATATGTAAAAACAATTTGGTAATTAATATCATAATATTAATAATGTTACAGATTTCTGATTGGAGACAAAGTTCCAGCAATTGCTTTTGCCTATCGTGTTGATCTGTCAACTGTACATAAAATAATTAAAGAGACGTCTGATGTATTTGGAAGACTTCTTAGTTCAATCTATCTACAAGCTCCTTCGAGAGAAGAATATTTACAAATTGCTGAGGGTTTTTGGAAATTATGGAATTTTCCACATTGCTTGGGGGCAATTGATGGAAAACATGTCGATGCTCAATGCCCTCCGAATTCTGGTTCGCTGTACTTTAATTATCACAAACGATACAGCATCGTACTTATGGCTGTTTGTGATCACAATTATAAATATACTTTAGTCGATATTGGATTTATGGGGAAGAACTGT